TTCATTATCCTCATTTATCCATCCATCCATCCAGCCATCGTCAACCCCTTATCCTGCGTACAGGGTCGCAGGGGGGCTAGAGCCAATCCCAGCTGACATCGGGCGAAAGGCGGGGTACACCCTGGACAGGTCCATCGCAGGGCCTATTCTATTCTGGATTGTAATTAGTTAAAAGCTGATTTGTGAGAGACTTTGTATGCACGTACTTCAATTTAGGTATTTCATTGCACTTTTCATATACAGTAGAGCAGGTTTAGACCGTCCTCTTTATAATATTACAAAGAGCAATAATTGATTGTTTCTTCCGCTTCCACTTAAACTGACATTTCAGCTAATTTCACCTCAAACGTCAGCAGAATCAAACGGTTAATTGTGGTTTTAAACTCTTCTTTATGGTCAGGACATGACAAGCACTTGCCAAACAGTGGATCAGTTGACAAATCTTAAGTAGAACATTCAAAATAAATTTTTTATAAAATAATTTTTCTACAAACATGCATGAGTAAAATAACAAAATAAATATCTTAATAGAACATATATGCCAATTTGTTCTTTACTCAAATTAATGGAATCGAAACATTTGTTATACTGTTATTGAGGAAAAATGTAGCGCAATTAGCATTATTGTTTTGTTGCCCAGCTCTACAACCCAATCAATCAAGCAAAGAATTATTATTTGAAAACAATTCAACTTATTTACATTTTTACATTGTTTCAAAATCTGCTAAATATCAACACATTCAGACATTAAATCAGTTTAAAATGTTTTAACTACAACTTTATATCTGCCAGCACACGTAAACCCTCTTTAAACTGTTGATAAATCAAATGTAATGTTTGTGAATTTGCAAACTATGTTAATGCTGCACTGGAGAACTTTACATCTTGGGAAAGTTCATTCAAGAGCAAACAGAACAGAGTTTGAGGACTGTGATGTGTAGAAAGTAATGTTACACTTTTAGTAGTTTTAGGCTTAGAAGAGTCCTGCTTTTTTGGACAGTGGCTTTAATTTTGTCTTTTTTGAAAAATTATAATTATCCAGCGCCTTCTGTGTGCCAAGAGGATTCAATGGCACTGGCAAACATTTGGTGAAATCTATGACTTTTTCTGTCTCATCAAGTTATTTGCTGGGAACTGTTTTTAAGGTGGTGATTGGGCCAAACATCTCTCTACCCGAGGGCACTGTGGTGTCCATGCACCATCCGGATGAGGAGGAGGAGGAAGATGATGATGAATTCCTGAGTGACGATGCCGAGGTTGGTCACAGTAAAGACAAAACCAAACTGAAAGGTGTGTATTCACTATGAACTGACGTTATACATGAATGAACCAAATGCTTAAATGTTTCTTTGTAATGAGTTTTGGTTTCTTCTGTCCTCCAGTATTTAACCCAGTAGAGGTAGGAGCAGAGGGGAAAGGATACATCTGGAAGGCCAGCAGTCTGGATAACACAGAGGACGAAGAGCTGTTGCAGTGTCTCTGGGGTAGGATAGCAGCTTGGCTGGCTTGTAAAGTTCATCACAGAGTCAGTGAAACTGGCATTTCCCATGACGCTGTAGTCCATGTCCCAGCAGCCTGGCTTTTGTTCCTTGTGCAACAGGTTTGGTTTTGAACCCTGACCCTGAGAGTGAAAGTGAGGACAGTGAGCCTGATGGTCCTGAAGACCCAATGATCCCCTCCCCCGAGATGGATGATGTTAAAGGTGGGAGTTGTTCATTTCACCTGTCTGTGGAACTGTATGACTGCCCCCTACTGACCAAAGAGACAAAAAAAACAACAGCAAAACCAGTGATGATAGTTATCCCCAGATTAATTGAATTACTCTCTCAATGAGCTCAACTTTAGCAAAAACATTTCATAACAAGATGAAATGTATTAATCACTAATAGACTGCAACTTTATTAATATTCTAATTGTTTATAAAATATCACAATATGGAGCTCAGCTCAATTTTCCTGAGTCAGTTGTAAGCCCTGTTTCACACACTCATATACACGCATAAAATAGTGACTCTGGGCAGTAGCTGTTTAAACCTTTTAGAAAATATAAATAAATCAGAATGTCATTTTTCATGAAACGTTTTGTGTAGTTAACTTTATTTCCCCTAAAATAATCATTTTGTGCGCACAGAAAAATGTCAGTACCAGAGCACCAAAGCTGTTACATTTGCATTAATCTTCTTTTGTTCCCTGTATTTTCACCCCACTTTTAAAGGTTCAGTGTGTAATATTTCTGAGGATCAATTGCCAGAAATGCAATATAATATCCATAACTATGTTTTCAGTGCTGTATAAAGACCTCACATAATGAACCGTTATGTTTTTATTACCTTAGAATGAGCCATTTGTATCTACACACCCCGCGGGTCCTCTTACATGGATGTCGCCAAGTTGAGCCGTCATGTTTCTGCAGTAGCCCAAAACAGAGAAACGTCTCTACGTAGTGCGTTTCGTCACTACGTTGAATACGTACGAGGAAGAAGAAAAAGTAACGTTAGTGGTAGACGTCTGGTTTATTAGAAGTAAGAAAAGAAGAGAAATTTGGACAAATGAAAGACCAAACATATTATTTAGTACAAGAGTAGACAGAGTGTGTCGGCCAGCGTAACTTCTCCTGCGTGCTTGGAAAGGCAGGGGTGCATTCATGTGGTGTTGGAATAATCAGAATCTTTTTTTCCACCTTAAATCTTCATTGCAAAAAGAGAGAAATAAAGTGGACATAGGACATAAAGAAGTTTTCAGAACTTTCGTGCAAAATGACGTATTGCATATACATATTTTGCAACATGTAACTTGTAATATGATTATAACGGTTAGTTTGCTGTCCATGTAGAGTGGACTAGATGTCTGTGTGTTGTTTATACGTTCTGATTATACTAATCCAATACATATTTGTAGTAGCGTCCATGTTGATTCCACATTCTGACTTAAGAGCACATGAACACACACTGAAGTCGGAAGAACGACTTCAAAACTTGTCAAATGGGACCATCTGAGTAGCACATGAATGCACCGTGAGCCACTGGTTACAATTCACAACCTTCACCACAAATTCCTAATAATCTCCAAGGAGGTTTCCTGCAAATAATGATGTAATTTAGTACTAATTATAGTGAAAACAGTTAAGGTGCCTTTGCCTTAAGTCTTTAAGTCATTGCACATCAGGACAATTGAACATGTGTTGACAGGCAACATTCATCATATATGAAGAAAAAAGTTTCCCATAATAAACAAATAAGCAATAAAGTTTCCTCTGGAAATCAACATTTACTTAAAAAAAAAAGACAATTATTAGTAAAGATTATTAGAAAATTAGATATGTGTATGGTTATATATGTCCCCCTTTCTGACTCCAATTCTTCTTTGGTCTGTTCATGTGTAGTCTTCCAGATGGAGGTGCTGGGCACTCTGCAGAGAGGTTTGGAGGAAAACATCAGCTGTGACAATCTTGTACTTGAGATCAACTCTCTCAAGTAAGGAGGAACATTAAATCGCCTGCAGTTCTTTGCCTCTCTGTCAAAGTGCACATTCAGTTTGACACTCTTTCTCTTCAGGTATGCCTACAATATCAGTCTGAAGGAGGTGATGCAGATTTTAACCAGAGTGGTGCTGGAGTACCCTTTCCAGCAGCAGGGCCCACAGATTACCCCATCACAATACGTTGCTCTGCTCTTACCTGTAAGTATGTTTTGTTTTTCATTTGTTTTTTACAGCACCTTCATGTAAGTGTAGACATCATAAAAATAAATATCCTGTCTTTGTCTTCCTCTCAGTTATTAAAGAATTGGGCGCCAGTGTTTAAGAACTATGTGAAGAGAGCACAGGACCATCTAGATTGTCTGTCTGCCTTTGAGGAACACTTCCTGGAGCAGGAGAGTCACTGGGCTGCTATGGTCAAGGTCAGGGTCCTATTATGTACACTCACTAATCTGCTAATCTTATAAAGGTTGAACTCACTTTACAAGAGAAGATGTTGGGTCTGTTGAAGCCTGGTGCTGAAGATGCTGTTTGTGTTTTTCCCTCCAGGTCCTCATGAACATGTACCAGCTGGAGATCCTAGAGGAGGAGGTGATACTGCGCTGGTTCTCCCAGGGAGCCACCACCGACAAGAGCAGACAGCTCCGCAAGAACCAGGGGGTAGGTACAGTACACCCACAACACAAGGCTTTATTAGATCATTTCACAATTATACAATAAAGTGTTGAAGTTCAGATTGATGTGGTAAGACACCTATGTAAGAACAAAACAGTAATATGTTACTGGTGCCAGCAAAACTAAGTAAAACATTTCAGTATGGATAGCACTGAGATTGTGTAAAATACCAGTAGATGGTAAAGAATTCAATAAACACAGTTGGGCTTATTATTCATCCTTTCATTGAATGCTCAGAGGAAACTGCATTGCTTATGGCAAGTTTATTTATGTGGCATGTTTCACCAAGGTAATTCATTGCTAATGTTAAATTCTTTACATAAGGAATTTCACTAATAATTCAGATCCATGATACTATATAATATTATAACTGTGTTTATTATTTTCCACACCTATGAGCATTGTTGAACTGTCCTTGAAATAAATTCTAACTGCAGTAGTTCAACTCACCATGCATGTTTCACTTCTCACCTGTCCACCAGAAACTATCATGGAGTTTCAGAATGGCAGATTTCTCACACAACCCTGTTCTGATGTATGTTTTTCTCCAACAGCTTCAGAAATTCATCCAGTGGTTGGAGGAGGCTGAGGAGTCTTCAGAGGAAGAAGGGGAATAGTGAGGAGCACTTGAGGAAGGACAAAGATGACTGTAAAAATTAAGAACCTGTTACGTGAATAAAGGAATCCAGACTGTTGCTTTTATCTCTACAGCAGCTTTCTGCCACCAGTATCCATCGGGACCTTCTCTCTACAGTTCAAGCTGATATACATTTTTTCACATAGTGCCACGTCATGTAAGGGCTGTGTGCGATGAATGTATGTCCAAATAAACAAGAAAGACCCTCGGACTGCTTGGAAATGTTTATCATCTGTCTCACTTTGTCAGCAACACAAAATGTCTCATTCAAGATACACTTGCTGCAACAAGGTTTCAAAGCTGATTTAAAAGACTTTAATATTGCTTCACTATAATCTGAACACTGCAGGTCAGCAAAAATACATCAAAGACATAATTATCTAAGAGGTAGAAGATTATCTGCTAAATTGATTCAGTTCAAATCACCTTAAAATATAATTTTAATTCCATGATGACTAGAAACCTGGACTGGCCCTGATGAAATAACACTTAAATCACAGTTACAATCTTGAAATCAAAAGTGAAAGTAAGAGGTTGAGAAAAATAAACGACTGATTCAGTGCTTGACGTCACATAACTCCTTAAACGTTTATGTAAAATGAAACCAACAAAAATAAAATGTTCCCTTGATAAAGTAGCTTTGAATGTTTTTATTCTAAAGTGAATACATCTTATAAAGTCCAATATCTTGCAATAATTCCACACTCTTCTGAGTTTGATTGCTTGTCATATGCTTCTTAGCTTAGAGGCTACATGATCAGGTTTCAATCAAATGTATACTTTTCATAGCTTGACTGTTAGACCTATGTGGACTTAAGTTGTTTCATCTCCCTGAGTAGACTCTTTAGGCTTAAGGAACTAATAATTGTCCTTATCAGACTAAACTACCATACTACAACAATTTAATACATAATTGACTTGGGTTATGTCTAATTACAAACAAGAATAGTTACCTTTTTGATTTTGTCAAATGTCATGTTTCAGTTTTATTGGGTTTCAGTTTTGTAAATGCGTTTTCTAAAATGATCTGCTTTCTATTTTTCTACTATGTTTTGTCCAATGTCGACGTGTTTTGTCTCTCATGGCCACCATAGTTGTAGGCTCTGATGCATGTTGCAACAGGACAAGGAAATACCGGTCAGCAATGAAGCAAATCTAAACATGCAAGTGAATTATCTTAGCATCAGGATGGCACTTTGGAATGTAAGGTCCAACACCTGAGGCAGTACTGTGACACCTAAGAACAGTGACACTTGTATCTCCACGTCTTCAAGCCTACTTTGATCGGTCATCCTTTTTTCCCACCAAGCCGTAAACGACACAGGCTAGAAGAGAAGCCCCTGTGATGCCAGAAAGAGCAGTCAGCATCTTCCACATGCTGGCTGATCTCTCATGCCTGTCCAAGAAGCTCCTGTGGTCAGTGGGTACCAGGATATACTTGCGGCCATCCTGCGGGGCCTGCAGCCTCATCACCTGCCCCCCCTCCAGCACCACCTCACCAAAACCAGTGAGGGTGCTCCCCACCCGCAGCAGCTCCTCGCTCTCCTCCATCGCCACAGGTTTCTCCCCGCTGAGGCCCTGCATCACTATGTTCCCCAAGCTCTCCTCAGCATGTCTCACTTTGAAATAAACCCTCTCCAAGTAGCACCCAGAGGCCTCCAGAGGGTTTTGAACCTTCACGTACAAGTCGGTGATGTAGGCTCCGGGGCTGACCAGACTGAAAGGCACTGAGTTTTGGGTTTCTTTTCTGTTCACTTTCCGAGAATTCCTGGAAAAGTCATCAAACTGTTACTAACAGGCTAGTAGATTGGTAAAGAGACATTTTAGTCTGTAGTTTAATGTACCATGTATTGCTGAGGGAGTTCCAGTATTTCCAGTGCTCCTCCACTGCTGTCTTCTGAATCACGCCAAAGCAACGAGGGACAAACTGGCTGGGCAGAGGCTCCCCATCTGCCTGGACCAGACCTTGAAACAGATATGAAGGTAATTCCTCTGGACTGAACCCATTCAAAACTGCATTTACAAAAAAGATTAATTCTAGTTTGTACCTTCTACAGCAACATACTGAAGTCGCTTGTGGGGAGAAGCTTTCAGTACTCTCACCAAATGTTGATCAGGCTTGAATATGGGTATTTCCTTCAATGAATAAAAAAAAAAAAAATCAGATATGTATTTTTAAATCATGAAACTAGAGCTGCATTAATACTTTAACGTGGCTCAAACTATGATTTAGCCCACTTGCCTTCAGCTTTTTCAACTCTTTTGTCTTTTCTTGGTATAAATGGTAGAAAAGACCAGAGAAGGCAAAGCCGGACCCGACACCAATCAAAACCAGCGGGTTCACAGAAAAGTCACCCATATCTGGATCTAGGAACAGACGTGCATACACAACATAACGCTACAGTCAACACAAGTGAAAGTAAAGTGCAGAAGTAACGTTACGTCGTATGTTTTTTTAAGAATACTTACATAAAGGACAGATAACTTCAACAAAACTTACCAGGTAAAACTGTCACACAGGTACAATTAGATCACATAAATCGAAAACAAAAGCTTCCAGTGCGCGAGGTTCATTTCCTTGTTTGCCCACGTTTCGTCATGTTTCACCAGCCAATAGGAAACAAGTACTATTTTTCTTATGAGTGCTGTGACCACCAGGTGCCAGCAGTGTCCGGTTGAAACAGGTATTAGTTTTTTTTGCACGCATACTACTCTTTATGAAACACGGTTCATTTTAATGTTTAGTGCCATCCTAAGCAATGTGTATAACCTGCGTTAAGTGGAGCGTTTTGTCCTTTTTGGCTTCAGCAGGCTGAAGTCTATATTTGCTCTTAGTCAGTAATCCAACATTCAGTGCGAGAAAACTTTGCCAAATAATTTACTCAACATAGCAGAGCAACATTATAAAAATACCCAGTTAAAGTCCACGGTCCTTTATAAAGTGATGACATTTTTTAATCTGACAAGTAAAATACCTAAAAAATGTTATTTAAATAAAGTATGTCGATAATTGTAATTTGTAATTTTACTTCCATCTGTCATGTAAATGTTTGCATCCAGTTAATTTTAGTTTCAGATGTCATAGTTCTCAGTAGTTAAACCAAAATATCTATAAACTGAGGAAGGAAGACCCTGAAACATGTCATGCAATGTCTCAACATATAAACCAGTAGGACAACAACTCCCGTAAGGGGTTGCCATATGATTACTGGGGTAGGAAATAGGGGGAAAAATACAAAATCTAATCCTTTAGAAATCGTAGTTTTATCCCTTTGGGCTTCTAAAATTATTCCAATCCAACAATATGAGAGGGAAAAATTGCACTTCAATTGAACTATTCACATCTTGCTTGCTTTGAATTAATGGGTCAAAAGCACAGTGGTGGAATGCAAGTAAGTACTTTAGTACAATTTTGAGGTATTTGTACTTCACTTGAGTATTTCTATGTTATACTACTTTATACTTCTACTCTGCTACGTTTATTTGATGGTGAGTTCTACCACCTTAACAGGTACAACAAAATCAACAGAAGGGGTATCAGTCAAGCAAAGTTTGTACACACCCACACAGTCAACATGAGTGAAATGATCGACTGTGTGGGTGTACAGGTGCTCTAAGATTTTACATACAAAATATGTGATGACTTTATAAAATATATTGCATTATCAATGATAAATCTACCACACTGTAAAATAAATGGTTAAATGGTTTGCACCACTTTGACAATAACACTGACATGATCCACTCTGCATATTGATTATTTTTACTTTTGATACTTTCTGATAATTATCTCAATTTGAGAAATATTTTGATTTATTATTATTATTTTATTAGTAGTGGTGCCACTTTTATTTAAGTAAAGCATCTAAATACTAATGTATAATTCCTGCCCTCAGCCCTGGCTCTCTGAGAAGACAAACACTTTAATGTCTTTTTGACTTAATGCCAATGTATATTTACAGCTTGTTATCATGGTGTGATATTGATTAATGTTGCCAATCTGAATAATGTAGTCCTTACAGCTACCCTTTACTTGACAGTATGAGGTTTGAGCAGTTCAACCAAGGAGGATTTTCTCTTTAAACCTTCTCTAAATATTTTATTATAATAACTTTTCCAGTATTCCTATCCAGCATTTTACAATAAGACACAAGTCACAAATTATAAAAATGATTTGTATAGCAGAGTGATGTTTTTCTTCTTGTGTGTTGTGTTAATCATCTAATGACCTCACAGACCTAGGTCCAGATCACCTAAGTACACTCACCTGTAAAGCAGCTAATCCTCTTGTTATGTTTGACTGAAAGTTGCCAGCCCTGACCAACGTAATACATCCATGCATCATAAAGTAAAGTGTCACAGACTTTGCCAGCTTCCTTTTTCTCTGTCTCTGTCTCTCTCTCTCTCTCTCTCTCTCTTTCTGTCTGCGTACTATGTTCTCTTGGCAATCAGCGTTTGACTATGAATGCACACCTGTTTTAAAAGCCTGGTCATATTTTCTCCTGTCATTTGGATGCTATCGTCACTTGTTGTTTTCAGAGCCTTTTTGTTTCTCCAGGCTGTGAAAAGAGTTACTGAAATTTAAAAAATGTATCTGCACTGCTGGAAATACTGGATATATATTCCTCTGTTGGTTCGTTCAATTCCATAAACAGCAGTGAATCTTCAGGGGCATCTCTGACACCACTGTAACACAGTTTAATTCAACGGCCAATGCCTAGATAAGAAAAGAGAAAACATTTAACTAAAGAATGCCTTGATTTAGAGCTGCTTTTGCCCCTTAATGCTCATCCATTGAGATCTTGCTTCATTCCTCTTCAGTATGTCTGTCCTTGACTGATCAGTGAAAGCAAGATTGCATTCAGCTCAAAATAATGACGTCAGTTTTCTCATTGTTGGAACAATTTTCATTCAAACGCTTACAACCTTGATGGAGCATCTTACAGACGCTTCTCAAATGGACTGATGTAAAACAGAGCTATAAATTAAAATGAAACAAAATGAAAAGTCTGGCAACCTCATCTTTGGCTAATGAATTGGTTGTTGTTCTTATTGTTGTTCAAAAGCAAAAAATGCCCCTGAATCCTCCTTTCTGACTCTACAGCTTTAAATTCTCTTTGTTTCAAAGACGCACCCTTTGGCCCTTCCTCTCACTGATGAGTGAGAGCAGACAAAAGACACGCTGCTTCACAGCAGCCGGCCTGGATGTTTATGCCCAACTATTTTTCTGTGCTATTTCCCCATTGTATTTAATGTATTTAAGACAGTGTGGGAGCTATAGATGTTGTTATCCAATAATAATGCATGGTTATGGATGGATGCATATATGCTTTGCACGTCAGAAGCTCTTGAAATAAGGGGACTTTGTAACCTTGAAAATATAAGGTCTAATTGTCAAGTACACTGAACAAAATTATAAAGGCAACTCTTTTGTTTTTGCTCCCATTCATCATGAGCTGAACTCAAAGATCTAAGACTTTCTCTATGTGCACTATTTCTCAACTATTGTTCACAAATCTGTCAAAATCTGTGTTAGTGAGCACTTCTCCTTTGCCGAGATAATCCATCCACCTCACAGGTGTAGCACATCAAGATGCTGATCAGACAGCTTGGGTATTGCACAGGTGTGCCTTAGGTTGGCCACAATAAAAGGCCACTCGAAAATGTGTAGTTTCACTGTATATTTTCAGTCTAAATGATGGATGACACGATTGAGAAAATCCTACGTTCAAATGGTTTATGAAACATTTCCAGCACCCACGAGATAATACCAAAAAACTGCTTTCAACAAACCAAAACAGAGCTGTTTTAATTAAGTTCCGGAAAAGATGTCATTTTTGTGAATGCAAGCTTGACAAAAGGAAATAGTATTCCTTTTCTAAATAGTATTCCTATTCTCAACAGGCATTACATCAAACACACACACTATGCGCTCACACTTACATTGCTTTTAGTTTCCCTGCTGGGAAGATCATTTCACTCTGATCTTCTTTTCAGTTTAATGAGTTTGATGCACCTTCGTAATTACCGTCATTAACGGCATTAAAATATCTGGGGCGTTCTCAATGAACCCCACAGGTTGGAGTTATGTTTCAGCTTATGTGTTAAAGGCAAGGATTTATGCAATAATCAACAATAAGTAATTTCCCACAATCATTTTGAGCAATTAATGCTTTAATTACAGTAAATGAGACCCTCGCAGCCTCTGACTGGCACCATATTTCATTTTGTTTGTCATAGAAGATGTTATACAGTTGCTTTATGGCACAAAGCAGGAAGTTGTGGCTGATCCAGAAGTGCAAACTGACCTAAAAGCTTCTACACTTTCGAGCAGAGAAGGATGACAAATAGAAAATGTAAACATGTTTATCCTCTTTTGAAGCAAAGATCATCTTTATGACAGAGGGTTTATGAGAAACGTGTTCTTAATTTTGAGACACTGGCAATAAAACACCACTGCCAACTGGCGTGAGAGAGCGGTAAACATTGGTGGAGTCAAATGTTTGCTATTATAACACCTAAGTGGCACAGTTATTTTGACTGAGATACTAATACTTTCTGGCATGGCCAACAAATTAATTTGTTATGGAATTAAACAGTAAAATTAAACGTATGCACTGATGCATCAGAATAAACAGTCATGTCATATATACTGTTATAATATCTATCACAGTGGACACTTTTTTGCAGAGCCAGTACTTGCTGATAATACGCATATACTTTTGTTTTGTTTTAAATGCAGGATTTTTACTTGGAATTTAGTTTTTCTATACTGTTGCATAGGTACTTTTTCTTAAAGATCTGAGTACTTCCTCCACCACAGCTATAAAATGTAAATAAATAACACTAGTGAGCACCACAGCAATATGAGCCCCTTGAGGATTTATGGACAGGTGACAAATTAAAAGACAAAACCTGAATAAATCTAGAGGAACATCTACTTCCATACAGATCACAAGGTTTGATGAAGATGAAAATGATCTGAATCAACACCTGAGATTAGGGACATTACTGGTTCAGACCTTTATACAGTAGACATTCAGCTCCACAAGATTCATCCAGCAGAACTCAAACAACCAAACATTTGACTTCCATCCCAGAGGAGGGTTATTCTGACATCCATCAAAACTTTCATAAGCCTCAGCGAGTCACCCACTGACTGTAAAGCCAGACCAGTAATACACAAGGCAAAGCACATGCTGCCTTTGGAGGAGTCAGTGCATGGGAAACAAGGACTAGTTCATCAGTAACATGTATTCCTTATGGTTGGAAGTAAGTGTTTCTTCAAACTGTGCACACTGACGCATGAGCACATGATGACAGATCAACCATCTGACCAGAGACAAACAGACACACACGCTGCATGTTTTTCACTTGCTGTGTCCATTTGCAAAACTTCTAGAGTGAGCAGAAATATATTTCAGTCTTCAGTCCCACACTGATGTTTTTGATGATTTATGAGCTTTACAACTCTTTGTTCTCCACAGTTTGTCGCAAACACTTCACACACATACAGTACAGTATGTGTGCCATGCATCATTCTCTGAGCACATACAGTAGCATTATCTTATCTGAGGGCAGTGTGTCAGCTATGACCAGCTCCATATCTAGGAGCAACTGAGAGGGACTGATTTTTATTGCATGTGACTTCACACTTCAACTGAATGTCTACTGTATATGGTCTTCTATATGGTCTGATTGTCTTCTGGTCTGTGTATTTTATTAGACTTGTTAAGTGACAGTGGAGTGAAGCCGATGGCCTTAATCTATATTAACAGCAAAGACTGTTGAGACAGTGTCACAGAGATGTTGCCTCAACTTTTTGGCTGGCAATTTTAGGGATTTGTTGTCATGTTTAATTGTAATGCACCAGATGGGTGACAAATTAAAGAAACAACCTAAGTTGTCTCAGGATTCACATCATTTTCATCCTCATCAAACCCTTTAGTGACCCCTTGTGCTCTGTGTGTAAGTATCTGTTCCTACACATTTATTCAAGGGGCTCATATGGCTGTGCACTCATAAGTGTTATTTAGCTACATTTTATAGCTATGGTGGAGGAAGTACTCAGATCATTAAGCAAAACAACCAATGCAAGTGTAGAAATACTCAATTCCAAGTAAAATTCAAGCATTAAAAACTGTAAAAAAGTGCACAGGTATTATAGCAACATGTCAGCTACTTAAAAAATCAAAGTAAACATACTGATTCTGCAAAAAATGTCACTGTGACAGAGATTATTATATATAACAGTGTTAATACTGATGCATCAATGCATAAGTTTCTTTTTACTGTTTTAGCTGGTTGAGGTGGAACCTACTTTATATAGAGATGAGTATTCTGGCCAGTGGATTCCTGTCACAGATGTTTCACAATGATTCTGAGGGGTCTGAGATTATTAATGAGAGATGAAAGAAGAACAAACAAAGTTCCTCTACACAAATTTGTACCCATTTCTGGACTTTAATCTTTGCTTTTTCAGTGGCTTATTGGGTCATTTTATCTATTTGGGCCTCAAACTGTTTAAATAAAATGAAACTATGTGAGATGTTTGCATGAGCTTACTGGTTTTGTCTTTAACATTGAATTGTGTTTTATAGGCTTATTGCTATGATGATTCTTAATCTGTAAAGTAGTAACTAAAGCTAGTAGTGGAGTAAAAAGCCCTATAATATTTACCTCTGAATTTTGTAATACCTGTAAAGTAGAAGGCTAGGCTGTTAAACAAACACTCTCAGGTAAAGTACCTGAAATTGTACATGTGCATTTGGGTAAAGGTAGGCTACTTGGTTACTTTCCACCACTGCCCTTTTGAATACAGGAGAAACTGAGAAAGCGTTTTTTAAATTTTTTTTTTACAGGAGTAGGCTATATCCCGTTTACAGGGTTACACAAATAGTTAAACAAATTGTAGTTTTATATGATAAATATTGTAGCCATAGTTACAGCATAAATATATGGTATTACAATATGCTTTTGTGAAATCGTGTTACATGATTTGCCTATCACAAACAGGCTATACAAAATGCAACAATGGGTTAGTCGTGTCTAATTTGAATTTACGGGTACAGCAGTTTCTACTTTCTTTGTAACTACGTGTTAACGCCCTCATCCACTGACGTTCACAGATGATCTTTCATTGGTTACTTGTTGGTTGCTCAAGGTAAAGCCCGTGTGGTGGGAGGAGGAGGAGGAGGAGGAGGAGGAGGAGGAGGAGGAATTCAGGAGCGGAGCAGTTTACTTCACTCAGAGCGCAAGAACGCAAGGAGTCAGCAAGGGGAGCCACACAAAGCTGCGGCAGATTGTCACTACATATTTAATTATTTGAATAGATTTTTTGCTGTCTACAATCTATTATTTTTGAAGTAATCAACCACTATAAAGGATATGTTACTGGAAGTTTTAAAGAGCGCCTTCATCCTTCTCTCCTGCATATTGCTGAAACCCGTGAGTGAAAGACTTTTGACTTTTCTCATGACTTGAACTTGCACTCGTGTTCCTAATTTGGCAACCACCTAGATCTTTCAAGTAGAGCGCTTTTTTTTGTTGTTGTTGAGTTTTTAAGATCAAGAGTGACTTCCTAGCCTTTATGATAACAACACCAGTCTCCTCACTCCAGGCTTTGTGTGTCAGTTCCTGCAACACAAGCGCCGCAGGCAAAACCTGCACCTTTTAAAATGACAGCAACATTTGCTTATTGTCATGCACTAAGACACCAAAGCAAATTCCTTGTGTGTGTAAACCTCCTTGACACAAAAGCTGACTCTGATTCTGAAAATAAAACAGTTGACCAGATTGTGATTGTTTTCCAGTGACATTCATGTGTTTTTATATCCTTGCTGATGTCTTTTCATTCTTATGGTAAATTAGAAGTTACAATATGACTGTGGGTCTCCAATGACAGAGGCCTCCTATGTCTTCCTCTGTACTCTCTGTTCACCAGCATCCATGCCCACAACTGTCTCCTGTATAGAGAAGAATGTATGATTCATGCTGGAATTCAGTTGGAGGTCACAGCCCTTAGAATAGCAAGCTGGCTTTACATCTGCATTTCTTCACATTCACAGACTGCTTCAGTGCATCAGTGAAGAAAATTAAGGAAAGGAAAAGTCAGAGAGTGCTGTTTTTGCTAGTAGTGAAGGTAAAAGTGATGATTATGAAGTTTCCTCCTGATACTCCAACTTGCACTGCTTAAGGCGGCGCTGATCCATCACTGACAACATCTGCTCCACTCATAGTCCAGAGGTGCACCATGGGTGAAGTGACACAGGACGGGCTGCGTAGCCTGGGGCACGAGATACATCATAACCTAAATGGGGGAGTCACCTTGTGGGAGGAGAGTCATATGGGCTCATATTGCGACTAACAATAGCCACATACTACCAGTCTGATTAATGCCCACAGAGATGAGATTCATTCACCTAAGTAAAGGCAATAAATCTTCTGGTCCTGCAGAGGGTCTGTATATTCTGTATATAAACCCTTGTGAATTCAGTTTCATGTTGAACCAATGCATGGCTGAAGGATCCCTCCACATCAAACCACGCACATGCAAATCTAAGGAATATGATGGTTGAATCACAGTCAAAAGATTGATTTTGTGTCATGGCAGAGAGATTAATGGCAGCTCATCTCAGGAAGACCTCATTGTAGACAATAGATGTGTTTGCCTTGAGATGTGAAGCACATGCAGCATAACTCATGCAGTCTTCTATGCTTCCCTAACAGACAAATGATGTGTGACTGACACTTTAAAATGTCACTGCAGCTCTAAAAAAATAAAATAAAATATATATATATATATATATATATATATATATATATATATATATATATATATATATATATATATACATGTATAGAAAACGTGTGTGAAATGTCTTCTCTTCACAGGTGTTTTCAATGCAGTATCAGATGTGTGAGATGATGAAGGAAATAGACAAGGAAAGGGACGTGTGTGAGGCTCAGATTGAGAACAGAACAACAGGTGCGTAGTTTTCTTTTTGTGTGTTTGACATTCCTTCATTGTCCTGACTGCACTTACTCTGTTTTGTATCCTAATTTGCTTAATCCACAAGTAGGTTCTGATCGAAGTGACACAATGAGTTGTAAAGACAACAGAAGCTGTTCAACCCTCCCCTCTGCCTGAACATTACACCTTGCATGGTTGAACACTGTTTTCCTTCCCCTTGTCACATGCACCTTGGTTCAGTTTTAAAGTAAACTTTCTAATTGATCCCATTTTACCTTTCATTTTTATTAAATGTACAACAATAAAACTCAATTTATTGTTGATAAAGGTGGAATTACATGTTGCTAAGTGGGGTTTTGTGTACTCACAGCATGCATCATTATGTTCTCCAGAGAGATAGCCTACTTGCGCTTCATAGAGCTTCTAGTGCCTTTGTGTGTAACTAAAATCTCACTGATCCAAACTGCAGGTATCACGAGACTCTGTTTACATTCACACAATGAAAAACTCATTAAACACTCATTTACTTTTTAATTTAGGTGTAATTCTTCTTCCTATAGATTCTGTCAAATAAATATTGCCAAATCCTCAGAGTGTTGGTGTAAATATCACCTGGTAAACTGATTACTCATAGTGATGAGATGCTGAGCAGGTGTGGATTTAAAAGTGCTGTGGCCTGATTCTGCGTCCTGAGTACCAAACAAGTCGCAGTGGTGTGCTGAATTAAAATAATGGTGTGTGAGCTATTTTATTAGTCATGGTGGTGCCGTGTTAATTCAGGTCATCTGCTGTTATGGACCCAGGGCTGTAACAACATCTGACTTGAGCTGCCACGTTTTGGCTGCCATGGGAACTCCAGTGCTTGTGTGGGGTGGTAATGGTGCAGTAGGTAAGACGGATGACTTTTGGTGTGAGAGACCCGGATTCAATTCCTCACTGGGACACTTCCACCAATGTGTCTCTGAGCAAGACACTTAACCCCTAGTTGCTCCAGAGGCGTACGACCTCTCACATTGCAATTGTAAGTCGCTTTGGATAAAAGCATCAGCTAAATGAATAAATGTAATGTAACCTCAACCTTCAACCGAAGCAGGTTGTTGCTGTTTGTCACTGGAATGGAGCCATCCCGGTTTAGACACATGTTCAAAAAACTGTCTATGTTGTTATCTTGGTGCGTGTGATGTTTCGATGTTTAGTAGCTATGAACACTTCTTTTTTTTTGTCTCTCTCTCTCTGTTTCTTAATTAGGTTGCAGGGGGACGTGGGACAAGATCACCTGCTGGCCCAGTGCCAATGTTGGAGAGGTGGTCACCATCCGTTGCCCCAAATATCTCTTCTACTTCTCCAGGGACATTCCTACAAGTGAGAATCAAGTTTATAGAATACGTTGTGTGTGTTCTCTGTCTGTGTTTGAGGAATGAAATGGGGAGGAAAGGAGACAAGTGACTAAATCGATGTCTTTGTTTGTGTGATGATCAGCAATCCTACACATTTTTGGGATCTTGTGGCAGAAAAGTAAGAAGGAATGCAGTCATGCATCAGTCAGTGATCCCTCGCACTGAGCCAATCAGCAGACTCAGTAACTACTTAAATGCCTCCCATTACTTTTTTAAAACTTAGCAAGATTTGTTAAAGCTACTGTAATTAATACAGCAATCCACTGGATTGTTTGCAAATATGGCAACTTATACATATGATATTTATTATATATTTGATATTATACTATATATTAGTATACAATACTATACTCATAATATGTTCTATTTTAGATTCTATATATATATTACATGTAAATATATATATACACATATACATATATTATGTTATGTTAATATATTATACTATTTAATTACATTGTATACAATATTATATTTCTCTCCTATATCAATACAGACATATTATGTCTTATTCTTATAGTAGATGGTGTAATATTACTCTACATATATTATATGTAGCTGGCTTTGTTACACAACTATGATACTTCACTGGAGACCATACTGCACTATTAGCTTAAGTACAACATTGGTCATGGGTACTGCATGTACACTGCTTGCCTTGTAAATGTGAGTTTAATTGCTCTTATATAGATTCTATTTTTATTTTAATTCACTTATAGTGACAAACCCACAGAGAATTATCACTCAGTTCTTTTGTTCCCTCTCAGCTCCATGGAACATTTCAACATCTTTTTGCTCATTGTTTTGGTTTTACGGACCACTACTTTACTGTTTTGGTTCAGTCTCGCTGCTCTCATCAGCTTGTTTCTAGACACAGGCAGCGGTTTTCAGTGTAAAAGCTGAAGGCTCAGATGGACAACAGACAGAAGTTAGCAACTGCTGAAGATGGTGACCATAGCGAGCATTTTGCTGCTAAAGAGTCAGATATTTTCCTCAGAAGTTGATGGAGACCAAAACAGAAATATTGGACTCGCATTAACCAGAAACTAATAAACTTAATGTTGCTCTGTATCAATTGGATGTGTAAATAAGCAACGGTTTGCTGAAATGTTATCTAAATGAACTTTATATGTAAAGATATAATTAATATAATGTCAGTGTTGTGTTTATAGCTTGTTGATCGTATTTGGTCTACTAAAACAAAGTTTACTTTGTTGCACCATCGTCATATTACAGTTATTAATCAACAAATAGATTATTTTCCTCATCACTATGCACAATATAAACAGTTGTTTTAAAAAGAAAAATAGTATATACTAGAAGTCAGGTGTCAAAACAAATGAAATTTCTTTTAGACACCTGATCTTGTAATTACAAGATCAGGTGTCTATTTTGTTTTCTTTGGAGAATGCCATGCACTTACGTAGAAATGCACATGCCACTTTGTGGCATGAGGCGATGGTAACACTAACTCTTTTTGACTACAGGGCTGCCAGAATCAAAACAAAATAAAAGTTCCTTGTAGTAATACATTTTTTGTCCCATTTGCATAGATAAAAGTCACTTTTAACCTAAAAACCTTTTCCCACAAAAATTAAAGTGTATTGTGAAAATATTTTGATTATAAAATATAACAGTGTTCCTCACAACATCCTTGGTGTTATAACCATATTGTTTTACCTGCAATGATCTTGATAAACATGCCACATGGTTTACCTTGCAAGTTCTGGGACCACTGATTAAAAATCTTTGTTCTGCCCGTAGTTATCTAAGACCAATCAAAATTATTATTTCATGTAAAGGACATTTTTAGCAACAGTGCAATAACATGTTTGGTGATTTGTTAATATTTGAAGAGCCCAAAGTGACCCATTTAACATGATGTCCCAAATGTATCACCCGATGTATACAATATTCAGAAGCATAACAGATGCTGCTCATCTTCATCCGTCTTTAGCCTCCTTTTTGTTGTTGTTGTTGTTCCAAACATTCCCTGCTGTTGATTCATCAGTGCCATCACGCTTCATATTTGAGACCAGAAATAGGAATTATGCAGCTACACTGGGCATCCTAGCGGCTCACTCTCATGATGTCATGCTGGCTCATGATCACCTGTTATTTTTATCTTTCCTGACACCTCTTATCATACATTACAAAGAATACAGTAAAACTTGAAACACATGGCACAGCTGAGTCACAAAAAGATAAATACCTTCTCATCCCGGGGGAACCATTTACCCATCAAGACGCATTCTGTTTATTTGTCCCCTATGAGAAGCCTCACAGGAAAGTAGGACTAATTATGTGTAAGGAAAACCAACCTCTTGAGAATTTATTGGCTGAAATGCAGTGTGCTTGTACGGTGGTTCCTGAGATTATTCCCCTCTGAGTTTTCCATATATGTCCATTTGTCATTAATTGCCACACTGAGTGTTTGAGCTGAGCTGAGTTGTTGTTGTTTATTTGTATTCGGCAGAGACGCCTCAAGTTCAACTTCACAGCCTTGAGAAATGTTTCTTTGTTGGAGATGAGGCAGCTTGAAATTGGTGCTGGTGTCGTTCTTTGATAAGGTGTAATCAATGAATCAGGGCCCGTATTTATCAAGCTTCTCAGAATTACTCATAAGATCACTGTTAAGAATTGACTTAAGAATAAAAAAATTGTAAGCTGTGCTTAAAAGTTATTTATCAAGCCTCTCAATCCTAATTAAAGTGAGGTGTACGACTAAATCTTAAGTGCCAGTCTTTGTGTTGATTCACGACGCTTTGCTGTGCCGTAAACAAGATTTTGGATGATGATGTAGGCAAGGACCAATCACTGAATAGATTTCTTTATTTAAGAAACTTAAATTAACATTGAATAGTGCAATTCCTAAGGAGGAGGAGTTTACATTCAACAGACATTTGTCAATTAAGAATACATTATGATATACACATTGGAAATGGGGCAGCACGGTGGCCTAGTGGATAGCGCTTTTGCCTTACCCGGGTCCTGGTTTCGAACCCCTGTCATCCCGTCCTTTCTGTGTGGAATTTGCACGTTCTGCGTGGGCTCTCTATGGGTGCTCTGGCTTCCTCCCACCATCCAAAGACATGCCGACTAGGTTGATAGGATAAATTGTCCTTAGGTGTGAGTGTGACTGGTTGTTTGTATATGTGCCAATCCATCGCAAGAGCCCCAATGTCAGCTGGGATTGGTTCCAGCCAGGATAAGTCCTTCATTTCACCCTCTGTCTGAAACAAGCTGTAGATGTCTCTTTAAGCCCCCCCTCTTAAAGCCCACTGTCACCTTATTGACCTGAAGGTTGTTACCAGGCTGTCGTTGCCGCTGAGTGGTACAGGCAGACTGAGCATAGCTGTGCTGTTGCTGTGCGGAGCAAATGACCATATATAGAACACTGGCTCCGTGTAGCTCCGTGTGTCGAAGAACAGAGCCGTTGGTAGAAAAAGCTGTTTCAGACAGAGCGTTCAGAACATAAGGAAATCTGAGGTTTTTGCTCACAGGGATTTCTTTTAAATACTTTAACTTCATTATTTGAAGCTTTGACCATGTTTAACATGAACATCCAACATTGTAACATTGTAGATGGGAAGTCGCTGAGGCGCTTGTGTGGAGCTGTAAGTGCCATAATTGCTTCCATGGCAATTTGGCTTATTGATGGTTGTGATGGCCTCAAATCATCAGCATTGCATTGCTACATTTGTCCTGTAGCAAAGAAACGAAACGTCATTACCACCATCAATTCAGTTGAAAACGCATTGCTGCGTAAAGTCCGTGGTGAGATGATGTCCTGCACCAACTCGCTGACAACAATGATGCCTGCTTTGCCCAAACGATACTGTATAATTAATTGCCTATTGTCAAACAATTCTTCCTCTCCAGAAAGATTCACGCACATCTCTGTCTCCACAGTGCTATCACAAGCCCCTATGGGCAACTCTCTTAACTCTCCTCCTAACCACTTGAGAGACCTCTGGAGCTGTCTTAAATAACTGGGAGAGTAAGAGTGATTCTTAGCTTTAAGAAATTTCATGAGTTGCTTTTATACTTAATGATGAAAAGTAGGAGTAAATTTCATTGTTTTGTGTCAGTTGGCTGTATAAATATACAACTGTTTGCTAATGCGTTTGCTTCAACAAGCAGTATGTCAAACATGCTTTGCCCCCAAGGCTGAAAAAGCAATGATATCAATGTATATAAAATCCATGTATAAGGATGCACACCTCTTCTACATTGCATTTAATATGGCCTGTTACTAAAAACTCTTCAAGGTCTGTTAAGCTGTAACGGTAGTAATCTTTACTCGTTACCATTGACTGCAACGTTGCCCTGCACGATTGCTCTAAAAGTTGCTCCGTGTATCATCAGCTTTAGATTGTACCTGCCTTTGGTACACCTTATCAGTCAAGGGCACAAAATCAGCTCATTCATGCTCCATTGACTTTGCTGTAATTTGAACAAGTGTGAAGTTAAAGACTTCAGCTGTAAGTGATTGCAGTGCATTTGCGAATAGCTCTGCAGACATGGTAAGGGGGTTCCTGCCCCTGTAATGTGGTGTAATATTTTCTCTGTCATATTATGGACATGAGAGGGATTCTCAACTGAGGATTCATCATCCGCATGTGAAGGCTCAGTACAGAGGAGAAGAGTTTTCTGGGAAGCTGTGATGTGACCCAGATGTGAGATAGTGTGACCCAAGAGAGGAGGGCCCTCCAGGGACAAAGGCAGATGAAGAATCACCAGATTTGTAGGGTTGAAGGCAGAGGAGGTATATTTCACTGACATGTCTAAGGTTCACATGATCAACAGGCCCTCACTGTGCTGGGACCGGGATTAAGTAAAAAGGCCTTAAAAGAAAGAGATGGGATTATAAGTGACCTGTGCTGCGCTGATGTACATGATATCAATTATGCAGTAAATCAACAAATGAGTGCACGTCTCTGCTTGTTAAACCTACACTGCTCT